CCCCGCCCCCGCCCCCATCCCTCTGTCAAGCCTCCTCCTGAGTGAACAGGGGCCTCCCTGGGAAACAAAGCAGAGTTCACTGCCTGATCCGGACAGGCAAAGATTCTTGTCTGGGGTGGGGCATGAAAGGGAAAAAGGACAGGGGAATGGTTAAAACCTGGCTCTTTGGTCCTTCCTCTGCTGCAAAAACTCCACTGTTGGCTATAGTTATACGAGGGTCTCGGTGGGCAGTGAGGGACCGAGAGAGGTGTCACTTCTGGGTAACAGAACACTTTGATGCCTGACCAGTGAGCAGCCTGGCTTCTGTGACATCAGCAGCAGGCAGACCCCCAGAGCCCAGTCTCCAGCCCATCAACTCTCTCTTGTAGTGAGACCTCTGTCCCACTCCAGGATCCAAACCCACCTCCCACCTCCAGCCAGGATGGCAGGGCGTGGGATGAGGGAAACCGGCCCCGCCTCACCCCACAAGCTCATGGCTAAACCAGGGGAGGTAGGGCAAAGACTCCCCCACCCCATTCATGAGTAATAAAAACTCTGGCAGAGGGTGGGAGGAGAAGGGCAGACAAATAAGGGAGGCATGGAACAATGTAATGACCCCAAGGCCACAAGTTCACAGGGCTGCCCTGCAGGGATCTGTCCCTCAAACAACTCCCTCAGAATTCCTGGGGAGTCAGGTGTCCCTTCAACAGCCTCTCTGGAACCTGGACTCCAGCACCAACAGGCAGCCTTCTCCCAGGTCCTGAGCACTGCAGCCTGGGGTCCCCTCCCCAGGTCACAGACAGTTGGGTGGAGCTGTCTGAACCAAACCCTGTGAACCTGAGATTACCCAGAATCTGAGATCAGTTGCAAAGACCTCATCAGAAAGCTGCAAGCCCAGACATCCCATCCCACCGGCACAAAAGACCTATGATCTTGACCCCTGCTGACTGTGGCCCTGGCAGATCACTTTCCCCAGCCTCCAAGAGCTCCCTCCACCTTGTGCCTCCCCCAAGCTGGGCCACCAGAAACCCAGGATTATCAGAGCCAGGAGGGGTGGCTGACTTGGATCTCTAGGCCCCAAACTAAGGGAAGGGGGAGAGAACAGGAAAGGAAAAAAGGCACCAGGCTGACAAATTCATTTTTGCAATCGGCCCATTTCTGTTTGTCTGCTCAGACGCAGCTCCAGGCATCTGCACAAGCCAGATGGAGGAGGCTGCTATTTCTAGAAAAAAAAAGGG